GCTGTCCACTCACTCAAGAGCCTCGCTCACGCTCATAGCTACCGATGATGACAAACACTCACACACGCATGCACACTTGTGGCTGCTTGCAGGTTCTGTTCTCCAACCCGCGCCAGCTTTCTCACGTATGCAACTTGATGCTTTGTGTGTGTGTGTGCGTGTGTGCGTGTGCGTGTGTGTGTGTGTGTGTGTGTGTGTGTGTGTGTGTGTGTGTGTGTGTGTGTGTGTGTGTGTGCTCTGGACACTGCGTCGAGGACGCTTTTGATCTTCCTTGCTTGCATGCACTGCGCCCCCTCACTTTCGTCTCCCCCTCCACCTTCGATGCTGGCTCGCTTCGTCTTGCTAGTGGACGCTTTCCGTACAAACATGAGATGACAAACACCAACTTGCTACCGCCGACGCGCATGCTGGGCCTTGACCTCTCCTACACAACGCTCGCCGACAAGCTCAAGCAGGCCAACTACTCCACGCACCACATCGGCAAGGTGTGTTCTCTGCGCTGTAAGCACGTTCGCGCTTGGGTTGTGCGTGTGTGTGTGTGTGTGCGTTGCTTCTACTCACGTGCACCTGGTGTTTGCGCATGTATAACGATTTGTGCAGTGGCACCTTGGCATGTACAAGAAGGAGTACACGCCTCGCTACCGCGGCTTTGATACAACGTGCGTGTGCGTGTGTGTGTTTGTGTGTTTGTGTGTTTGTGTGTGTGTGTGCGTGTGTGTTTCTTTGTGCTTGTGACTCGTGTCTGTGTGTGTGTTTGTTCGTGTGTTGTCTCGATACGGACACAGCATGTATGTGACAACCAGTTTGAAGCACCTTCACTCCAGTCTTATCTCACACCACAAGGTTTGCTTTGTCTGCAGGTTTGGCTTCTTGACAGGTCTGTGCTTGCTGCATGCTGTGGCTGGTGGCGATCCAATCAGCGTGCTCGTGTGCACCCATCTCACACCACACCCGTTCTTCGCTCAATACTTTCGCTCTTCCCTTCTCCTTTGTCTTACACGCAGGAGGAGAAAACCACTACACGCAACGCGCATTCGTGAGCCCACCAGCTGTGGACCTGTGGGACGAAGGTGTGTGTGTGTGTGTGTGTGTGTGTGTGTGTGTGTGTGTGTGTGTGTGTGTGTGTGCATGTGTGTGCATGTCTGTCTGTGTGCATGTGTGCATGTGTGCGCGCGCTTGCTCGTGCATTCTGTTTACATGTAGCAATCACCCTTCTGCTTTCTCCTTGCTCACCACCACCACCACCACCACCATCACCATCCTCGCCCTCCATTGCTCTGTGTGCTGCATCACAGAAGCACCTGCGTACGGGATGAACGGCACGTGGACGGGCAAGATGTTCACTGATGCTGCCCTCGATATCATCCGCAACAACGCCCAACTCCGCAACGCAACAGGCGACGCGCCCCCGCTCTTCATCTACTTTGCCCTCCGTAAGACGTTGTGTGTGTGTGTGTGTGTGTGTGTGTGCCTGTGTGTGTGCCTGTGTGTGTGCCTGTGTGTGTGTGTGTGTGTGTCAAACACGTGCTTGGATTGTGATCTGAAAACGCAAAGCCCCTTCCCCCACTTTCATCAGCAGCAGCGTTGCCAACCGCGCTCACATCGCACCACACGGCGTATAGATGACGTGCATGCGCCAACGCAGTCGCCCGTGCGGCTGGCGCAACTGTACAACTTCACTGGCGACGACGCGGGCCTCAAGAGCACCTTCTACGGCATGATCTCGGGTATGTGGATGGGAGCGTGGTGGTGGTGGTGCTGCTGCTGCTGCTGGTGTTGTTGTTGTTTGTTGTTGTTGTTGTTGTTGTTGTTGTTGTTGTTGTTGTTGTTTTAAGTTGTTGTTCTTCTTGTTCTTCTTGTTCTTGTTCTTGTTGTTCTTGTTTAAGTTGTTGTTGTTTAAGTTGTTGTTGTTGTTGTTGTTGTTGTTTAAGTTGTTGTTGTTTAAGTTGTTGTTGTTGTTGTTCTTCTTGTTCTTGTTGTTCTTGTTCTTGTTGTGGCGTTAATGGCTGCCATAACTGACGCACGCCACTGTGTTTGCATTCCCGTGTCTGCATGCGTTGCAGGCGTGGATGAGGCTGTGAGGAACGTGACGGATGCGCTCAAGGCAGCGGGCATGTGGAACGATACCCTCCTTGTCTGGACATCTGTACGTTGCACCCTCTGCTTGCTTGCCTACTCGTTGTGTGTGTGTGTGTGTGTTTACATTACATGCTTGTGATCTGTTACCCTAACCCTAACCTTAAGCTTGAACTTCCATTCACAACACGCCCCCCCCCCTTGCCTAAACAACAATACCAACCACCCTCACCCCTCTCCCCACACCCACACGAACCAGGACAACGGCTCACCCACGATGGGGTCGTTCAATGGCGGGTGCAAGAACGTTGTTCCCGATTCCAGAGGTGGCGCATGCATGTGCGGCTCAAACTACCCACTGCGCGGATCGAAGCACACCAACTTCGAGGGCGGCGTGCGCACGCCAACGTTTGTTTCGGGGCCCGTGCTGCCTGCACATATGCGCGGGAAGCGGCTGGACGGGCTGATGCACGTGTGCGATTGGTACAGCACGCTCTGCTCTGTCGCTGGCGTGGACCCTGCTGACCCCGGCGGCATTGCGCCGCTTGACGCAATCGACATGTGGCCTTACATCAGCGGTGCCGTGTCGGAGTCCCCACGTGACTTTATCGTGCACGACCACCGCATGTTCACGTCAAACATTACGGGCGCCATCCGCAAGGGCGACTGGAAGCTGTTTGTGGACCCGGATATGAAGTGGGCAAACTGGTTTGGCTTTTTCGCGCCAAACGCCTCCGTCCCAGATCCGCCCAAGGAAACCCTCCAGTGCCCGCGTGAAAGCCCTTGCCTCTTCAACATCAAGGTGGGGAGGTGTCGTTGTGTGCAGTAGTTTGTTTTGTTCGTTTGTATCCATGTGTGTGTGTGTTTGTTTTGTTCGTTTGTGTCTGATTTTGTGTGTCTGTGTCTGTGTTTGTGTGTGTTTGTGTCTGTGTGTGTGTGTGTGTGTGTGTCTGTCTGTCTGTCTGTCTGTCTGTCTGTGTCTCTGTTTGTTCGTTTGTATCTGCGTGTGCGACTGTGTGTTCTCTGTGCAATGGCCGATTCGGTGCATTTGTTTTGTTGCAAATGACCTGGCATTACGTACCCCATCATCTGTCGAGCCTCCTCGCCACCTCGCCACCACCCCCCCCCGGTCAACGTCCCTCTCATGCATGTGCACTCCTCTCCACCTCGCGCACTGCAGAAGGACATGACCGAGCAACACAATGTTGCAAAGGAGCACCCTCTCGTGGTGATGGAGATGCTTGCGCTGTTCGACAGCCTGAACAACGAGTATCACCCGCCCAAAGACGCAGCGCCCACAAACTCCACCGCCTTCTACGCGTACGTGAACGCACACAACGGGTTTCTTGGACCGTTCATGAGCCCGTATGCTGCCCCCGAGGATGATGGCCAGCAGTAACAGGATCCGCAATTCCCATCCAGTGAACCTTGGCGACTTGGCACGAAACCGCGTGAAGGCGCTGTCACGGGATGTTGGCCGCGTTAACCCCACAGATGCGCCACTGTGTTGTGGTCGTGTTTGAACCCCGCAGTGACCACGATATCACTGTTGATGTGCGAAACTTCACAGTGACCGCAATGTGCTCTTGCCTGTGTCCTATTGTAATTTTGTGGACACTTCCTGTCCGTCTCACGAGTCACATAGTGTGTGAAGCACTATTAACAACAGCATGGGAAGCCAACAAATGGTGGGCGGGTGTGTCACGTTTGTGGAAAGAGGGGAGAAGTCGGGTTGGACAAGAATTGGAAAAGAGTTGGAAAGGCACAAAGGTAGGTAGGTGGTCAGGGTTTGACACAGGTTGGTACGAGGAAGAGCATCCAGTAGTGCGGGTGCATTTGTGTGCGAGGGTGTGTGAGTGGTCGTGGGCTTCGCTTAGAGGCTCTCCGAGATGAAGGACACCACCTTGGGTCCTGAACGTGCGTGCACAACACGTGCAAATCAACAACAGCAACGATGAACAGAACAAATGTGAGTGGGACAAGCAAGATGGAGTGCATGCGACAATAAAACCTTGGCAACTCTCGACACTTGAGTCACACATGGAAACGTGGAGTTGCGCGCTTCGACGTGCATGGAAGTACGCGTGTGCACATGCGCAGTGCACATGCGCATGCGTGCACTCAACCTCACGCTCGCACACACAAACACACACACACACACACACAAACTCACACGCTCAAAACACACCCACCCACATGCATGCAATTTCGCACAGAGGGAACAAACCTGCACGGATGAGACCGACGACAACACCAAAGACAACGACGTTCTGGATCACCGCCTGGCGCATGGCGGCCTGCTCCTCGGGAGACGCTTGGCGCTGCTCGAACATGGTTGGCTGGCTGTGGCTTGTTTGGTGTGCTGTGTGGGGTTCTGTGCAGCGTGGTCGCTTCGTCTGCTTTCTTTCTTGCACGATGTTGATGGAAAAGGCAAATTCGCTTTTTCAAGTCAATTTTGACTTTGCTGTCATTTCTCATCAGACAAGGCAAGCAACAAGGCAGGACTACAAGACGTTTCCCCATCCATTTCTCACCACCACCGCGACCACCACTGCCACCTTTCTCCTCCTCCATCTTGTTCTTGTTCTTCTTCTTCAGGGTCAGCAGCGATGCCACGGATGCTTCACTGGGTGTTCAAGGTCGCAGACCGCGGCCAGACCATCAAGTTCTATCGCAGCGTGCTTGGCATGCGTGTGCTTCGCCACGAAGAGTTCGAGGAAGGCTGCGACGCCCAGTGCAACGGGTGTGTGTCTGTGTGTCTGTGTGTCTGTGTGTCTGTGTGTCTGTGTGTCTGTGTCTGTCTGTGTGTCTGTGTCTGTCTGTCTGTGTGTCCGTGTCTGTCTGTGTGTCTGTGTGTCTGTCTGTGTGTCTGACAGCCAAACTGTCTGCTTGAATTTGTTGTGCCTTGCTTGCTTGCTTGTGATGTATCTCATTGTGCTTCGCACGTGGCCTCTGATGAACCAACCCCCTCACCCAACAAATATCTCAGGCCATATGACGGCAAGTGGTCCAAGTCCATGGTGGGGTATGGCCCAGAGGACAACCACTTTGTAGTTGAGCTGACGTACAACTATGGCGTCAAGCACTACGATTTGGGGAACGACTACAACTGCATCAAGGTGTCGTCAACGGCAGCCTTCAAGAACGCCATGCAGTTCAAGGATGAGTTCCCGGTTCAGTCTTTGTCAGACGCCCAGCTGAAGGTCCAAGCGCCAGGCGGCTACAACTTTGAAATTGTACGTATTGGGCACAAATGCACCTTCACCCATGTGTTCCAAGCTCCACCGCTGGTCATGCCGCTTCCAACCACTACTACCGCTAGCCATGTTTGTTGAAGGGGCGTGCTCTCACGCACCCTGCACGTCATTGATGCTGTGTTCTGCATCATCTCCTAGACAAATGCCGATGTTGCTGAAGGCATGGACCCAGTCACTGGCCTTGTGCTCAACGTGACCTCCCTCGCCAAGTCCCTTGGTTCGTGCACGTTCTTAGCTGTGAGTGAGCGTGTCTGTGTGCTGTGTGTCTGTGCTGTGCCTGTGTGCTGTGTGTCTGTGTGCTGTGAGTATGTGCTTGCACATGTGCCCGTGCTTACACATGTGCATGTGTGGTTGGAAAGTCGTTCAGTGCACAGTGCACCGCAACATGCGCAGCGCCCGACCACAATTACAGCAGCTGTGCTGACATGGCGAGTGCCTTGTGCTGTTTCCCTACCACCCTGCAGAGTACTGGAATGGACTGCTCGGAATGAGTGTTGTGGAGAAGAGTGACAAGGAAGCCAGCCTGTCGTATGGCGAGGATCAGGCAACCCTCGTGCTCCACCAGATTGCTGAGCCCCTGAATCACGCCTCCGCCTACGGGCGCGTCGCGTTTGCCTGCCCTGCAGCTGAGGTTGGTCGTCTCCATCAAACAACTCCTGTCCCTACTTGCACCGAAGCATTGTCACTTGACACCACTTCCCATGTGCATGTGCGTGGGTTTGCATGTTAATGCATATGTGTGTGTGTTTTGCGCGCAGCTGCCTGAGAAGCAGAAGAAGGCTGAGGAGGCGGGCCACAAGGTGCTGACCCCTCTCATCAGCTTGGACACCCCTGGCAAGGCCACCGTCCAAGTGGTCATCCTCGCAGACCCGGTATGTGTGTGTGTATGTGTGTGTATGTATGCTTTCTTGTGTGCGTGTGTGTTGTGTGTGCGCCTGTGCCTGTGTGTGTTGTGTGTGCGCCTGTGCCTGTCTGTGTGTGTTGTGTGTGTGTGCGTGGTTGTGTACTTGTGTACCTCACACACACACACACACACACACACACTCTCTCTCTCTCTGTGTCTGTGTGTCTCTCTGTCTGTGCGTGTGCGTGTGCTCTTTCGTATGCCCACTTCCGTACATGATTGGGTTTGCTGCTCTACCTGGTGCCTGATCTCACTGAACACGAATGTGCACGTGCTCCTCTGTCCAGGATGGCTACGAGATTTGCTTCGTCGGCGACGAGGCTTTCAGAGAACTCTCGCAGGTACAGACGTGGACTTGTGTGTGCTGCCAGTCGCTGGAAGTGTGAATAACATTTCCATCTTCATTCACGCTGTGTCGCACACACACTACACACACACACACACATACACTACATACACACACACGTGTCCAGGTTGATCCGAAAGCGGATGAGCTGCTTGACAAGGCAATGGCGGCGGACGGGTCGAAGGAGTGGTATGCGAAGCGGCAGGCGTACCTGGCCAAGCTCGACGCACAGGCTGAGCTCAAGAACAAACAGAGCAAGCACGCTGCCGAATAAGAGAACCCCCTTGCGTGTGTGCGTGTGTGTGTACGTGTGTGTCTACTACCTTGCACTGTTCCCTGCTTCTTTCCTCCTTCCTACTCCACCTTTCATCCCCACCTCTGTCGCCTGCCACTGGCCACTGGCCACTGACGAGCTTTGACGGTCACGAAACAAAACACACAAAAAAAGAGAAGAAGAAGAAGAAGAAGAAGAGCAGACGTGTTGAGTTGTGCGTTGTTGCTGGGAGGAAAAAAAGCAAAACACAAACACAAACGAGAGACACAGTGAAGGACAGGTACGCAAAGGGAGACGAACAAACAAGGGACCTCGGCGGCATAAGCAGAGAAGGGAGGTACCAGCATGGACGAGGACGGCATCTACAGCATCCAGCGTGACCTGGAGAACCAGTTTGATGATGCTGAGGACATGAGCGCGGCCAATGCTGGCCTGGATCGCACTGCACCGCCTCGCATCGAGTACGAGTCGTGTGTGTGTGTGTGTGTGTGTGTGTGTGTGTGTGTGTGTGTGTGTGTGTGTGTGTGTGTGTGTGTGTGTGTGTGTGTGTGTGTGTGTGTGTGTGTGTGTGTGTCCATGTGTTTGCCAGTTTGCCTGTTTGTGTGTATGTGTGTGTGTGTGTCTGTCTGTCTGTCTGTCTGTTTGTCTCTGTCTGCCTGTCTACATCTATCTCTGTGCTGCTGTCTCTCCATGTGTAAGTCAGGGAGCCTCTCGCACTCAACTCAGCTTTACCAACACTAACAACCACACGAGCAACGCCCACCACCTTACCGCTCATCTTGTGCTCCGACGCCTCCTACCTCGCCTTCCCCACCTCACCACTGCAGGTGGTTCCATGGTCAGATGGCCCGTGAAGAAGCCAGCCGTATGCTTGGCGCCAAGCCGCCTGGCACCTTCCTTGTCCGCGAGTCCATCACCCACGTCGGCGACTACATCATCAGCTTTCGAGTCGAATCCGGTGTCAAGCATTTCAAGGTGCAGTATGTGTTGTCATGCACGCGTCCCAATCGCATCCACGACGACGTCATCAAGTCATGCGTGGCCTACGTTTACAACACGCGCTCCACATACACACTTCACATACACACCCACATGTACGCATACGCACACGCACACACACATGCACACGCACTCTCTCGCACCCTCACACGCACACACTCTCTCTCACCCTCGCACTCACACACACGCGCACACACACACACACACACATATGCCCTGCCCTACCACACGGCTTAGGTCATTGCGCACGAGCTGGGTGACTTCTTTGTTGCCGACCTGTGCTTCTCATCCCTCGACGATGTCGTGGACAACTTCTACCGCTTCCCGCTCAGCGACGGCAGAGTGCTTGAGTTTCCACTCCACCCTTTCAACACCACCCAGGTACGCATGCATGCAGCCGTCGTCGTGCTCCTGCTTCCTCTTGCTTTTGTTTTCACAAGCACACACGCGCGCGCGTGGGGTAGCCTTCCTTCTTACGTTTCCCTTGGCGTCCGCATGCCATTTGTGAATCAACTGTTGCACTACCTTCCTGACACCACCCGCTATGGCCGCAACGCCGTTGCCTTGACTGTGTGCAATTGTGTGTGTGTGTGTGTGTGCCTTGCAGCTGCGTGCTGTTGAACGCACGGCCATCGCCACCAAGCGGCATCAGGCGCAGTCGCCAGAAGAACTCTGGTACGCGCGCCCGTTGCATCGCGTGCACAACACTCCCACGCACTCACCAACTATTTCGTTTTACCCAACATCATAATCAACACACACACACGCCACACAAACACACGCACGCACGCACGCATGCACGCACGCACGCCACACAAACACACGCACGCACGCACGCACACATGCACATGCTCACACATGCCGTCACTCACACACCTGCGCCCCACCAACTCCTCAACGCCTGCAGTTTTCTGCAGGGCGACCGACTGAAGGTGCTGCAAGCAGACGACCCCGTCTGGTACTTCTGCGAGCACGAGACAAGCAAGCAGCAGGGATGGGTGCCGGCACAGCTGCTTCATGACTTGGTGCGTACCACTGGTAATGGTGGCGGCGGCGGTGGTGATGGTGGTGGCAGTGGTGTTATTGTGGAAAGCAGAGGGCAACATGGACTTGTGCATTTGAAGGCGAGCTGTGATGCTTCTGCAGTTTTCTTTCTTCGTATGCACGTGTGTTTGTGAGACTGCTTTGCTCACCCAACAGCACAACCGTTACCACCACCCATTACCGCCACTGCAATGACAGCCGTCTGGGGCGCTGGAGAAGGAGGCAATTTCGCGGTGCCAGCTGCCACCACGCATGCAGCGCAAGCACTGGCTGCACGGGCGCATCAGCAGCCAGGACGCAAAGGCAATCCTCACCAAGCACAAGGTGGGTTGGTCCTGTCTCTCGTTTTCTCCCGTGGCATTTGGGTGTCCCTCCTTATATGTGTCCCCCCCCCCCTCTTTCACCAACATTCTCACACATGCACTCTTGCATTTACTGTCACGCATACTGTTATACACGCTGTCGCACTCACACATGCACTCTTGCATGCACACACATGTACACACGCTGTCGCACTCACACATGCACTCTTGCATGCATACACATGTACACCTGACGCAACGCTGACTCCATCTGTGACAGCCGGGCGCATTTCTGATCCGCGAGAGCTCGTCCACCCCTGGCGACTTCACCCTCTCCTTTCTGTGCGTTCGAGATTGTGTGTCGTCGATGACCGACGCTGCGTGGGGGGGGGGGGGCGCATCATGCATGCATCCATTAATTGTGTGCACATCACAGCGCCGTCTGCACACGACACCACATTTCAACTCAGGGGTGTGTCAGCCACAATCACACCTCTCCCCCCCCCCCAAAAAAAAAAAACACACACACATATGTACATACACCACCGCTCACACAACCACATCATCACCATCACCACCACCACCACGGATGCGTACATGTGTTTTAGGAGCGGGGACAAGATGGTTGAACACTTCCGCATTGGTGTTGCGGACTTTATGGACTACCAGCTCGGCGGCCGGCACTTTGGATGGTGCGTATGCAGGAGGAGGGAAGATGGAGGATGGAAGGTGGAAGATGAGTTGGGACTGGGGGTTTGAATTGCGTGGGGGTGATGGTTGTGGCTTGTGTGATGGGGTCAGGGCTTGCTTGCACATCCTCTTGCACGTTGAGAATGGCAACTTGCACTCACCTGCCAATGCTTCATTGCGCCACCACTTACCAACAACAACAACAACAACAACAACAACAACAACAACAACAACAACAACAACAACAACAACAACAACAACAACAACAACAACAACAACAACAACAACAACAACAACGCTGCTGTTAGCCTTGAGGACATTGTGCTGCACTACACCGAGAAGCCGCTCACCAAGGACCTCACCCTCAAGTACCCTGTCCCACCGGTACGCGCATATGCAAGTGGCCATGTGTGTGTGTGCCTGTGAGTGTGTGTGTGCTTGTGGATAGATATGCTCCTTTCGCCGCTGACATTCATGATGGCTTTGCTTTTGGGTTCAGGAGCGCGGTTACGGCGAATTTGATGTCGAGGGCGCAGAGTACAGGTGAGCCACACACACACACACACACACACACACACACACACACACACACACACACACACACACACACACACACACACACACACACTCACTCACTCACTCACACACTCACTCACTCACTCTACACCTCACTCTCTCTCTACGCCTCACTCCCTCGTTCCCGCGCGTGTGCACGACTGCAGCGATCCCGACTCGCAGCGCGGCCCGCCAAAGCCCGTCAGCAGAAAGGACACGGAACGCGTTCAGGGCGCAACTGCCGCAAAGCAGGTGAGCATGTGTGTGCGTGTGCGTGTGCGTGTGTCTGTATCTGTGGCTGTGGCTACATGTATCTGTATGTATCTGTGTGTGGCTGTGTATGTGGCTGTGTATGTGTATGTGTATGTGCATGCGTGCGCCTGTGTGTGTGTGTGTGGGTATGTGCGTAGACTCGGCAGTGAACTGTGGTGTTGTAAGCTGATGTTATCAACGAGCTCACGCACCATCATGTACTGCCACCACCACCAGCAACACACGGAGGGTGACGGCACCTATGGCATGTCCGGATTTCTCACGCGCAAGCTGAACAAGTCCAACAAGTGGAAGCGGATGTTCTTTGCGCTGGAGCCCGCCAAGCGGTATCTGCATGTGTTTGATTCGCAGACTGCCGTCAAGCCCAAGCACATCTTCGACCTCTCCTCCACCTCCCTCTACTCCCTCGATGACTCGTACCACGGCAGGTGCGCGCTATGTGTGTATGTGTGTGTGTGTGTGTGTGTGTGTGTCCGAGTTGGTGATGCTTTATGTGTGGAAGCACGCTCGCACCAGACAGCAATCACTCTTCCTGAACCCCTTCCACCACCACCAACACCAACACCACCCAACACACACACACCACCAGGCCGTACTGCTTCCAGCTTGTGCTGAGCTCGAGCTGTGTGGACATCTGCTGCGACAGCGACGAGGAGCGGCTGTCGTGGATGCAGGCACTCTACCGCTACTGCTACGCGTGCAGCGTCGTCCTCGCAAAGCCAAGCCCGGCCGCCGTCAACAGAATCACAAAGTGCGCACACACGACCATAACCATGGGGACTGATGATGATGATGATGATGATGATGATGATGATGATGATGATGATGATGATGACGACGACGACGACGATGATGCTGATGGTGATGGTGGTGGTCGTCGTGGTCGTGCTGTTGCTTGTGCTGATCGTGATGGTGCTTGTGATGATGTTCATTGTGTCTTGCTGCTGCTGGTTGAGTCGGGGATATAATTGGCCCTTTGCTCGCCGTTCACAACGTAACTCACACTCGGCTTTGGCTGTAGCCTGCGCGTTGTTGTTCGGGAGGTGAAGGGACCGATCAAAGGATCGCAGATGCAGTGTCAGCTGCTCTTCAACCACGTGAAGCAAGCCCGCACATTCTTGCGTCAAGTCAAGGACAAGGCGTGCTACTTTGGCGACGAATTCTTCTTTCCGTACGCCAATCTGCTGGGGAGCGCATGCCTTGCTTGTCTCTCTGTGAATGCGCACGCGCGCGCGTGCGTGTGTGTGTGTGTGTGTGTGTGTGTGTGTGTGATTTGGTTTTTATTCCACACTCACCCTTGTTTCTCTGGGCCTCTACCCTTGTACGAATTAACCACCCAGGAACCTGAGCGACATTGTGACGTCACTGCAACTGGAGGCATACGAGAAGAAGAAAACAAAAGTCCCCATCTGCCAGATGAATGTCAACATTGCCGACCTGCCGAAGAATGCAAAGGTATGTATGTGTATGTGCGATTGCACTGTATGTGTGTGGGTTTGTGTGTTTAGTTGTTTCCATGCTGCAGGTGCTGCTGCCTATCGCTGCATCGCCTACTCACGACACCCCACAATGCGTGTTTGTCGCTGTCAGCGCGACAATTGGGTCGAAGTTGGCAACGGCTTCTCCGTTCGCCTCGAACTGCACCTGCAAGACGAGGTGTGACACTCATGTGTGTGTGTGTGTGGTATGTGTGTGTGTGTGTGTGTGTGGTATGTATGTGTGTGTGTGTGGTATTTGTGTGATGGGTTCGTTTGTTTGCTTGTTTGTTTGTTTGCTTGCTTGCCTGTTTGTTTGTTTGTGTGTTTGTTTTGACCTCACACCTGTTTGTGTGTCCTGTGTACGGTTATTGCGTTCAGATTCAACTGCCGGCGGGCGAGTACGTTCCGCTGAAGAAATTTTTCATCACGCAAGCAACAGACATCCTCCCCTTCCTCTCCGACATCTTCAAGGTCCGGCAATCCAGGCGTACATGCATACGTGCGCGCACATGCATCTGCATGAGCGTACACACACACACACACGCACACACGCACACACACACGCACACGCACGCACGCACGCACGCACACGCACACGCACACACACACACACACAAGTGTGTCAGTCACACACCTGCGCAAGCGTACATGCACATTCCGGGCGTGTACATGCACACATCCACATGCAAATGAACATGCGTACACGTGCTGCTACCCCTTCAGGGACAATTGATTGCACTGATGCAATGCGTCGTGACTTGGGTTGTGCTCGCGTCCTCATGCGCTCTTTTCCTTATGCCGTGCGATGTTCTCCACACACATGCACACACACACAGCTCAAGTTCAAGGACATGGCCAAGCACCTTGTGCGCCTGTGGGAGCAGAACAACGTCGCTGCTGAACGCCTCACCAGCCTTGCCGAGGTGAACAGCCACAAATACACACACGCGCGCGCACGGCACAAACACACATATGCGTGGCACACGGCGCATGCATAATCCTGTTGCGGACCTCACGTCAAAACCTCACGCACCCGCATGTTTTGGTCACCTCTTGCAACTGCTCTTCGCCTCTCTGCGTGCTCTGCTTTTCACATGTGTGTTTGCAGCTCGTGATCAATAGTGAAGAAAGCGTGGGTACCTTGTTTCGTGGCAACACGCTTGCCAGCAAGTGTATGGATCAGGTAAGACACGTTGCCATCTGCTACTGTTGCTGCCATCACTGCCGCTGCAGATGTTGTGATTCGTTGGAGAGCGCGCGTGACTTCTGTTCTCCCTCATCTTCTTTGGTTGGGAGTGGCGCTGCCCCACCTCCCCTCCTCTTTTCGATTCCAACTCGTTTCATGACTACTCACGCACGCGTGTGCATGCACGAAACCTCCACTACCATCTTGTACTGTTCGCAGTACATGAAGCTGGTTGCAATGCCGTTCCTGCAGTCGTGCATTGAGGAGCCAATCAAGGAGCTGTTTGAGAGCAAGGCGAGCTTTGAACTCGACCCAAGTCGAGGCGGCAAGGACGACAATCTCAAAGTACGCAGCTTGCTTTCGCCAGTGGCCAGAAACAAGGGGGGGGGGGGAGGGTGCGCTTGCTTGATGGATGGGTGAGTGGGGGTGTGTATGCGAAGGCTGATGGGTTTGCACGCGTTCTACGAAGTAATCATCACATGCCATGCAACTCACCATGACCACCTCTCCCCCCCCCCCCACATCGCCAATTTGATTCGATTCGTAACCGCTGCAGCCGCTTGAGTACTTCCTCAAACGCATCAGCGCCTGCACCTTCAAGAAGGCCGACCAGTGCCCAGGGTAGATGACACACTCACGTTGCACATGTGTGTGTGTGCGCGCGTGTTGGAGTTGATGTGTGAACTTGCATATGTGCTTCGTGTTTGCTTGCACGTACTTGTATGCACACCCTTGCACACACCACATATCAGTCTTGACTTCCATCACCAACTCGTGTTATGTGTGTGTGTGTGTGTATGCATCAACAGCAAACTTGCCCTCGTCCTGCACAATATTCGCAAGGCGGCAACAACCAAGTTCCCCGACAGCCCACTCGTTGCGTTTACATGTGTCAGCGCGTTTGCGTTTCTGCGCCTCATCTGCCCGGCCATCATCAACCCCAAGCTCTTCAACATGATGCCAGGTGCAGCAACATGTTTGCTCGTGTGTGTGTGGGTGTGGGTGTGTGTGTGGGTGTGGGTGGTTTGTTTATCATGTCTCCAGTGTGTGTGTCTGTGACGTTGACGGTCAATGCCGTGCTTGCCACAGTGCCATCTGACGCAGCCTGCATCACTCCCATGCTCATATTTATTTCGTTTGCCATCACCAGACTTCCCGTGTGAGCGTACGGCGCGCAACCTGACGCTGGTGGCGAAAGTGATGCAGAACCTGGCCAACATGACAGAGTTTGGGGTCAAGGAGCCCTTCATGCAGCCATGCAACCGCTTCATCATTGCGCACCGCGGCAAGATGCAGGAGTTTCTCACCCAGCTCACCGTACGTGCCTCTCTCTCTCTCTCTCTCTCTCTCTCTCTCTCTCTCTCTCTCTCTCTCTCTCTCTCTCTCTCTCTCTCTCTCTCTCTCTCTCTGTGTCTCTCTCTCTGTGTCTGTCTGCGCGCGTGTGTGTGTGCGTGTGTGTGTGTGTGTGTGTGTTCTTACCGGTCTAGTTTGCTGTCTGTCGTCCTTTGTGGTTGTGTCCACGCTCCTCAACCTATCAAGACTCCCTCACATCACACCTCTCCCCCTCCTCGCAAAACACTGAACGTGCGCGTGCACAGACGATGACGTCGAACGCGACGCCAGCAATCCCGGATACGGAGGCGAGCGATCTGGCGTCGCTGCTGCAGCTCTGTCTCGAGCGCAAGGACGAAATCGTCGCACAGGCTGAGCAGTCGGTACGTACGGGGTGTGTGTGTGTGTGTGTCTGTGTGTCTGTGTGTGTGTGTGTCTGTGTGTCTGTGTGTGTGTGTGTATGTGTGTCTGTGTGTCTGTGTGTATGCGTGTGTGTCTGTGTGTATGTGTGTGTGCGTGTGTGCGTGTATGTCTGTGTCTCTGTCTCTGTGTGTTTGTGTGTCTGCCTTCGGCTGGCTTGTTTATTTCCTTGTTGCCCTCCTTGTCTCCCTCGCTCTCCTATCCTCGCCTTCATCAGCCTCACCACCACCATTGCCACTGGCCCGTGAACACCAGGATGTGCCCTCTGTTCGCTCGCTGCCGCGTCTTTCTTGACGACTACGAGAAGCGCATTCGCTGCCGTCCTTGCAGAGCTCGGGGAGTGAGCACGCACACACACCTTTGCGCACACGCCATCACATTGACTTACACACACAACCCACTACATCATTTTTGCATTTCTATAGTTGGCTTTTCCTTACTTAGTTGGTTGTTTTATTTTTTTCCGTTTTGCTATTGTTTCTCTTTGTTTTTGCGAATGGGCTTCATCCTCTTTAAACACACTGACACGCCTATTCCTCCTTACCTCACTAAGATATGGCACAGGCGTCACCCACAAACACACATACACGCGTTGACGCGCACACACACCCACACACACGCACACACACACACGCACGCACACGCACACGCACACGCACACGCGCACGCACACACACACACACGCACACACGCACACACACACACACACACACACGCACACACACACACACACACACACACACACACACACACACACACACCCCACGTGAACACGCCGCCCGAGCTCAGATATCGAGGTCGTCATCTGGATCCTCATCGTCAAAGTCGTCCACGTCGTCGGGCTCATAGTAGATGGCGCCCGTCCCGGCCAGCGCACGCTGCTTCTCCTCCCGCGTCTTCGCATACGGCAGCGCCGTGCGCGCACGCATCGCCTTCTCTTCCTCTGTCAGCTTCAGGCTGAAGGTGAGGTTGGTCAGCGGGTCGTCGTCACCGCCGCCGCCACCAGCACTGACCTGCTGTGGCTGTGGTGGGGCTGCTGCTGTTGCTGTTCTTGTTGTGGATGGCATTGACACACTCGCAGTCGCGCCCTGGCCACGTGTGCTGACCGCCTCTGTTGTTGCTGTCGTTGTTGTTGCTGTCGACGCTGGGCTGGTGGCGGTGGCGGTGATTGGTGCTGGCGTGTGTTCGAGCGCGTCGAGCAGCGTAGGCGCAGCGGTGAGCGGCTGCACACTCACCGCACGCTGACCGTTGCGGAGGGTGTTGATAGTCACGAGCGCACGCGAGGTGGTGGGCTTGCTCCCTCCCGTCCGCATGTGAATCGTGTCTGCCACAACCACATGCTGCTGCTGCAGCTGGCGGCCCACGTGTGGCGCGGTGCCCGCGTGTGACAGCGCTGCGCTGTGTGCTTGTATTCTCACGTGCGTCCGGCAGAGGTGTTCCAGTTCACGCGCGCAGAAGGCCGACACCGTGTTCGAGTGCAAGCACATGTACACGCTGCATCCTTTGCCTGATACGAGCAATGCGTCACAGCGAGAAAAGGGGGAGGGGGCCCTGGATGAGACCACTTGGAGATGATGCCAAAGTGGAACAAGGAAGCTGAGTACTGCTCCGCACACGCACATGTGTACACGTGCGCATGCACGTGCTCACACCCACGCTCACCCACACAGCACGCACATGAACACGCACATGAACACTCACGCTGCAACAGGCGTTGCACAAACTTCAGCGCTGCCCGTTCCCCGGCAAAAGCAGCGAGGGAACCAAACGAGTCCACAAACACGCATGCTGCGACAGGACGTGGGGTGGACCGCAAAGCAAACATTGGCCGCGCGCGGGAAAGGGAGGTGAGTTGCTCATGTGGGCAAGGTTATTGCTGCTGTCAGTGGGACCTCGTACATGCAGCCAGACCGACCTTGTTGCGCTTCTGCTTCCTCGGCTATTCTAGTCACAAAGCTACACATGTGGATGTTTGTGTGTGTGTGAGGGTGTGCGTGTGATTGCGTGTGTGAGCATGAGAGACACACACAGACAGGCACACAGACATGCAGACACGCAGACACACACAGACTGACAGACAGACTGACTGACAGAGACAAGATGCAAAGGAGAAAGGGAAAGAGGAAGCAAGAGAGCTAGCTGGCAAGGCGGCACTTCACCGCCTTCATCAATCACAACAACAGGAACCACAAGCGCACGATGACAGTGTACGCACTCTGCACTTGCTGTGGCGTCGAGCCAGGGCACACTCGTGACAGGTCTGTGATCACAGCAGCAAGACAAGCCCCGGCAGTGGAGCAGTGGCAGCAGTGGGTGTGAGTGGCGTGCGGCCATACATCACTCATAGCTGCCAAATACACCGCACTTGAGGAGGAGATCACCCAGCATATGGTTGGCCACCAGCGCGTGACATGGAACAGCAGGTCCACTCACCCATCAAACACATCGGCGCCCCGCTCACCGCAAACCACAACGCACTTCCCGCCCCTTAATGCATGTGTTTGCGCGAGTATGCGTGTGTGGTGTGTGTGTGCGAGTATGCATGTGTGGTGTGTGTGTGTGAGTGTGTGTGTGTGTGTGTGTGAGAGAGAGTGAGAGAGGGGGGGAGGGAGGAGAGAGTCACAGGGCTGGGTTGAAGAAACAGCCGCTCGCATAGCTGCAGGAGCACTCAGGCAAGGCACGAAAGCCCCCAAAACACACACACACACACACACACACACACACACACACACACACACACACACACACACACACACACACACACACACACACACACACACACACACACACACACACACACCTGCTTCGGAGCTGGCGTGCAAGCTGTGCCAAGATCACGTCCCCTCGACACTCAAGCTCATCTGCAAGCACGAGAGACAAGTTTGGGGTCAAACCGCAAGCACCACATCATGCCATGCCCATGCCCCAACAGCGTCGCGCACGACCCTTCCACACACAGGCACACACACACACACACACACTCTCTCTCTCCCTCTGTCGCGAAATCACCTTGAACGATGAGGGACGTGGTTGTCTGCCGCAGCGCCAACAAGTCCGCCAACATCATCACTGCTGCTTGTGCAAGAAAAAGAGAGAGGAACGAGGGAATGCACACACAAACGCACAACCACACACAACCACACAACCACACACAACCACACACACACACACACACACACACGACCACAACCACACACACACACACTCACGCACACACACACACACACACACACACACACACACACACACACGCACACTCCAGCACACACACACACACACACACAACCACACGCTCTGGGTGTATGGAGAGGGAAGGCGTACTGGTACAGACACAGCTTGCAGACGGGGATGTGGCATCCATCTTGACAAAGCACAACGTGCTCCAGCACGTTGCACTTGCAGACGCAGCTGCGGCACCAACACACGACCAAGACCAGGCGGCACAAGTCGGCCGCGCCGCCCACGCGTTGGACGGCGCCTTGCTCAAGGCTTTGAATCAAGATGGCCTCAGCTACCTGGAAAGCTACGTGCGACCCTTCCCATCAACAGAGCCGCCGCTGCTGCATGTCATGGTCCGCGAATGGATCGCCCGCAGCGCACCATCCCACATGACGGCGCTCGCCAGCAAGCTGGATGCCATGCGATCCCTGAACGTGCACACGCGCGCGCTGGCGCAGACGTACGGCGTGCCGTTTATCCCACTGGCAGCGGAGCTCATTGGCGAAGATGTGCTGCAGCTCTTCGCCACCATGTCTAGCTCGGAACTGCGCTCGGTCATGGACATGCTCTCCAATGATCAGCCCATCATGCTACCCACCCCGGCAGTCGCAGACAGGCACGCCACAACCCCGCCCTCCCTGACAGGCAAAGACGTCAAGCTCAGATACGCCGTCTTTCGGCAGGTGGCACAGTCCCCAGAAGCCAGAGCGTACGCTCGCCATCTTGCTGCCTGCACAGACGCGGTCGACGCTCAGGAGCGTACCGTGGCTTCAGCACTGCGTGCACTCACCGGCGACACCCCACAGCAGTGGAAGCACGCTCAGCATGAGCAGCGGCAGCAACACGCTGTCACAGCCCGCGCATCGTTTGTCCCCAACACCGTTTCAGCACACCCTACGTCCTCTCTTGCCATTGTGACCACACAACAGCACGCAATAGCAACAACAACAGCTTCCACCCACAGCACAGCCACAGATCTTGGGGCGGCATCCCAGTCCACCTCATCTCTGGAGCACCGGAAGCAACCAGCACCATCACCAACAAACGCCGCTCGGATCCTGCTGCTGCGCTACTTTGCCGAGAAGCACCGTGCTGCGCCCCAGCCGGCCTCCAGCACGACAACCAAGTCCTCTGCTTCCTACCCCACATCATCACCATCACCATCATCGTCGTCGTCGTCGTCGTTGTCAACTGCAACGTTCTCGGCGTTGCACACCTCGCTATCGTCCCTCGATCCCGTGAACACCCGGCCGAGTCTTGTGTTTGCACAGCCAGTCGCTCTGTTGGGGCACGCCAACATCAAGTGGGTAGTAGTCTTCTCGCACCCACTCCTGCCCAGCATCACTCCAAGGGCGATCCTGGATCGCGCACGTGCGCGCATATCTGCCTGCCTCGCGGCATATCCTTCAACGCAAGGCGATGGCCTGCTTGTCTTCGACGGCTTCCCTGCCAGCCGTGACATGGGGGCGTTTCTTTCCAGCATCCCCGGCGCAGCAGAGCGTGTGGTGTGGGCAAGCTTCTACAGACACCCCACAGCTAATGCTGAAGTCACTGGCCCTTCAACTAGCTGGCAGCCTACTCCGAGCAGCCATACTAACCAGCACCTTTGCAACCACCAGCAGCACCACCAACACACTGTCACCACCAGCACGGCCACTCCCACTCGAGATCCCGCAGCCGCACGAACAATACCAGCACCAACAGGAAGTGCTGCACAGAGCACCCCGCTTCTGTTGCGCCCCGGCAGCTTGAGATCACGCGCACACGCAGCCCACACAGCACATGCTCCGGCCATTTCATCGCCTGCGCGTGCGTCCATGATTGTCGGTGGCCGGGACAGCAAGCAGGCAGCTGCTGCCGCTGCCGCAGACGCCTGCTTCGACCTCGCACACTGCATCCTCTCTCCCAACAGCAACCAACTACGACGACGACAGCAACAACAACAACAACAACAACAACAACAACAACAACAACGAGAGGAAGGGGCTGGAGAGGTTTTCCGCTCGCAGCTGCGCCGTGTTGGTGACATGAGCATATGGTCGCGCGCCGTGTCGGATGCAACAACTGCCACCTCCCTCGCTGCTATTCTTGTCACGAGGTATCTGGATCTGCGTGCCGGTACGCTTGCGTCCACGCCGGCACTTGCACCCCTCGAGACTGCGCTCGCCACCATCCTCCACCGCCCTGCTGCTGCACACCTGCACGGAAAGCACGCCAGTGCCAGCGCACTGCTCACCAGCAAGACGGTATCAGCAGCGACGGCAGCGCAAGCGCAAGACATGTCAGCTGCAGTACCCTCATCCCCGCTCACGTCTCGAACTGCAAGCATGGTTGCACACGACTCTGCAATGATCATGCTGGACCAACAACAGCAACAGCAGCAGCAGCAGCAACAACAACAACAACAACAGAATCAGCAACAGGGTCAGCAACGAGGGGGAAAGCATCAGTCTGCCGTCTCTGAATTCTTCGAGTGTCACCTGTCTGCAAACACACTCTTGTCTTCCATCTCGCTGCTGCTCGGAACAGCAACAGCACTGGCAGCCACGCCGCCGCTTCGGTCCTGCTTCTTGCAGTGGGCAGGTGAGCGGAGCGTGCCTGCATGCACAGACGCTAAGGAGGAGGGGCGCGTTCTCAAGCGGTTGGGGCAGCCACGCGCCAAAGACACCGTCCCAGCGGTGCTTTGCAATGTTGGTGACGAGCTGCGATGTCTGTGGGCGATGCACACACGTCAACGGGTGGCCCTCCCATCCAGCCGTCAACAACAACAGCAGCAACAGCAACAGCAGCACAAGCACAGGCAACACAAACAACAGCTTCGTGATCAACAGAGCCTGTGGCAGAAAGGCGATCCACAGCGGCAGCAAAATCTACGGCATGAGAGGGAAGGAGGGGAGAAAGAGGAGGAAGCACTGCAGATATGGCAGGCGCCTGTATGTGCGTCTTCAGTGCTGCTGGATGTGGCGCAGGCGGTTGCTGGTGTTGCGGCCTTGCCTCGACCACCGCACTGTCATCCGCACACTCCACATGCGGCAGCAACGAGAGCACAAGCCGTGCCAGTGCAGGCGTCATCCTCCTCCTCCTCCCTCGCACAGCACGGAGCACGCGCAGCGCCCCCGCAACTGCTGCTCTCGCTGCCAAACTACAACTTGCCGCCACTACATGCTGTGTTCATGCTGACGAATGCACTCGCTGCATGCGCGCACATCACGGAAACAACGCTGTCCAGATTGCACCACACGCTGCGGCCGTTGTGTCGCGCAGATGTGCGGATTTCCGGTCCATCTGTCCGCCTTCTGCGACGCATTGAGGAGGTTGCATCATCTCCCTTCTGCCACATGCTTCGCCGCGCATGTACGCGCGTGCACGTGTTCATTGACGTGACAGACGGCTCGGACGCTGTCACAGCAGACGCGTTGCTTGAGCAGCTGTCGTCACGCATGGCAACACTTTCAACGCGAACAGCAACGGCGGCAGCCGTGCTATTGCAACAGCAGCAGCAAGGGGAAGAAGGAGAGGAGAAGCGGAAGGACAACGATGGTGGTGGTGATGGCAGTGGCAACAGCGTTCGTCCCCATGCACTCCGTGCGCGTGGGCTGCTGAAAGATTGCTTCAAGGTGAGCTGCTAGCGTGCGTGTGTGTGTGTGTGTGTGTGTGTGTGTGTGTGTGTGTGTGTGTGTGTGTCTGTCTGTCTGTCTGTCTGTCTGTCTGTCTGTCTGTTTGTGTGTGTGTGTGTGTCTGTCTGTTTGTGTGTCTGTCTGTCTGTCTGTCTGTTTGTGTGTGTGACTGTGTCTGTCTGTGTGTCTGAATGTGATGCGAACAGCAGGATGTGTGGCTCTTTCTTGCTAGCTTCAACTTGCTGTCTGTCTAATCAACTCTCCGTCTCCTCACTCCGTCACACCACCATCATGCCCTATTGTTCACGTGCAGGCTTACACCAAAGACAGTGCAGTGCTCGCGCGGGTGCACACTGCACTTGAACAGGCACCAGCACCCACCGTGTTCCGATGCTGCCGAGACCTCCTGACCACAAGGTGTGCGCACGCATGTGGTGTACTGTTCTCTGTGAACTGCACATACATGTATCCACCATTTCCATGTCAGGTGTTGGTCACGATATTCGAGCTTCCAACTACCCCTGTTCAGCTCTACTCACACCTCACTCACGTGTGCGCGTGCGTGCTTGTTGTTGTTGTGCTAATTCTTGTTTGCGTTTTTTATTTGTGGTTTGTATCTGCTCCCACTGCAGCGAACAGTGTGCACGGCTGCCGGAATCGACTGCCCATGAGCAACTGGCCCACCGACTGACATCCGTTTTGAAGACGCTGGAAACAGCACAACAAGACGACGGCAGCCACCAAAAACGTGTGTTGCCACTGCAAGTTTTCTACATGTCATTTCTCTCGCCTTGTTCATGTTATCTGGCATGTACGCTTCCGTTACACAGCAGTATTTCATTTCTACTGCCCCTCCCGCTGCTGTCTTTTCATGATGCCTGACAACATGCACGTCTCCTCTTTGCTCACCCTCGATTGTGCCCCCACCCCCGCCATTCTTCTTGCAGTCGGCAACGAGTGGCGTGCTCTGCATTCGCCGTTTGTGGTGCATCGCTTCTCCTCCGAGGACGCGTCTCGCTTTGTTCTCCGTTCACTGCCCACCACAGCTGCTCACGATGGTGATCACGAGAGTCGGCAGGGCGGTGATGATGGTGGCCATGATCCTCTGTCCGGGCAGCATGAGCGCATGCTTGTGCACAAGGATGTGCTGGCGCACATGACAGCAGCCTTGTGCTCGCGAGATCGTGACCACTCACACGGCGCCACCACCACGCTTCCGATGCCTGTGGTCGTGATCGGAGGGCAGCCTGCCTTGCACACGTGCGCATCTGCCCTTGCATATCTGGCCGTCTCCGCCCCACAAAGCACGCCCCTCTCGCACCTGAAGCTGCTTCCGCTCGACCTTGAACGTGAGCACTGCCGTGTCCAGAACCACGCGGGGCCTGAAGACAGTGCAACCGGCGCAGCAACGCCAAAGAAAACCACGCCGCAGACACCCTCGTCCTCAGCGTCCGTGGTTAGAACACGAGCACGGACACGGACACCAAAGTCCGCAGCATTACAGCCGCCATCCACGCCCGCCAGCGCTTCAGTGCATCACCGTCGCCACACGTACCACCAGCAGCACCACCAGCAAGGAAGGATTGACGGGCGTGATGAGGGCAGTGGAGGTGGCCTGGTGCTGACGCTCTCGGGGCGGTCGAAGTCACGCCGCAAACCCAGGACACGGAGCCGGGACGTGGTGTTTGAGCCGACCGTCGAGCACAACCGACCGCAGCAGCGACGAGGCTCCATGCACGCCCTCCTGAACATGGTTACCAGGCGACGCCCTGGGCGGGCGAGTGGCGGTGGCGATGGTGATTGTAACACGGAGACACATGTTGGCGCTGACGGCGACGGCTCCAGCACGCCACCACCGCCAAACCCGCCCGGCAGCACCAGCAGCGTTGGCGACAACAGCAGGAGCGCTCGTGGCGCAAATGATGGTCATCGTACATCGTCAGGCGCCAGTGGAGCGCTGGGGAAAACAGCGGCAGTACCACCGGGTGCAGAACCAAAGCGGGCGGGGGAGCGGGGCGAGCACAAGGGTGGCATGGACCTGCGGCGCAACCAGACGTGGGCCGGGTACCTCGATTCAGCAGCGACAGGCGCCAGTGAGGGCTCCCACGATCAAAACACGGTTGCTGCGGATGTGTGCGCCAACATGAACGATGCAACCATGAGTGGCGCGGAAGATACCTCCGCTGTTCTTGAGTTGGAGGATGACGGTGTTGTGGCATCGACTCCTCACGTCACAGCATCACCCACACGTGGATTCATTGCCAACAAGGGCTGTCGTGTGACAAGCGCTGCAACAGCAGCAATACCCGAAACAGCAGCACCGCCGCCACCATCATCCACAACAGGGGGGATGGCTGCCAAAACGAGGACGCCAAGAAAGTCGGGCCCCAGTGCACATCCACAAACTCTCACATCCAGCTTGCAGGACAACGACGATGTGCTGCTTCATGGCGCTGTGCACGTGAGCAAGGCTGCGGAGAAGGACGAGCGGCCGAGTGCGTGGTCGCTGATGTCGACATCACAGCAGCGCCGCGGTGTGCACAATGATGACGGTGATGTGCAGGACTCGCGAGTTGCGCTGCCAAGCTGTGCGAGTGGCGGAGACGGTGAAATCTGCTGGCACTGCGTGCTGTGTGCGCAGAGTGAGTGGTATGCGAGGGAGGTTGTCGGCACGTCTCGCCAGCTGCTGGCTGCCACAATGGCGCTGGACATTGTGCGGGCTTGTGAGCCCGATGATGATGCGAGCGCTGCCGGCGCACGTGGTGGGGACACCCCTGCATGGAACCAAACAGCTGACGATGGTGGTCGTGGTCGTGGTGTACGTGGATGTGGTGGTGTTGAGCATGGTGTTGACGGCGGAGGACGCAACGACCCCGTCTCCCTCTTCTCGCGCGTTGTGCTGCACTACGTACACGACACCTTTGCGCGGGAGCATGTGCCTGTGTTCCTGGCCAGCGTCGATCAAGCTGACGGTTGCGGCGCGCCCTGGGTGCTACCGTGGGTGAGCGGTGTGACAGTGAGCGTGAGCGGGTCAGGAAGTGTAGCGGATAGCACTGCCACCACCACGGCAACAAGGAGGAAGCACCGGCACACCACAGTGGCGGCGGCGGTGGAAAGCAGCAAGACGAGCGTGCAGCTGCGCATTGATGTGATCTGTCGAGATGAGGCAGGGAAGCTGCATCGATTCCACACGCCGTCGCCGTGTTCTTGTGCGTCATTGAGCGTGTGCCCCGTGCAGGGTGGTGAAGGCGATGGGGTTGCGCCACGCGAAGGGCATCTGCGCCTGCAGCTGTGCCTACAAGACGGGCAGACTGCCAGCATGGAGGTGCATGAGCTGGGGCTGGAGGTCGTTGAAGACGCGGCACAGGCAGGGCGGCAGGGGCGCGAGGATGGATTCTCGGTTATGGTTGATGGTGTCCATTGCGTTGATGGGGTACGCCGCTTGTTGTTGACACCGTTCATGACCATGCAGGCGCATGGTGGTGGTGGCGATGGTGATGGTGGTGGTGATGGTGGTGGTGATGGTGGTGGGCTGACCACGCGCCCTCCTTTGGTGTTTGCGCCTGCTCAGTTTCAGTTGCCTTTTGGACGCTTCCACTCCGACCTCGACTGACCTTGTGTGTGTCTGTGTGTGTGTCTGTGTGTGTGTCTGTGTGTCTGTGTGTGTGTGTCTGTGCCTGTGTGTCTGTGTCTGTGTGTCTGTGTCTGTGTGTGTGTGTGTGCGTCTGCGTGTGCCTGTGTGTGTGTGTGTCTGTGTGCGGCTGCGTGTGTCTGTGTCTGTGTGTTCGTGTTGCGTCTGCGTGTGCCCTCCTCCTGTTCATGTCTCTGCATGTGTGATAACTGGCTGCATAAACGCTGACAAGTGCGATGGTGTGTTGGTTGGTTGCTTGTGTTGGTTGGTTGCTTGTTTACTGGAGCGTGTGGTGTTGATGGAGGTGTACAGTGGTGTAAAGCTCGAAGGACGCTGCCAATGAGGCACGGTGTAAGGGTGCTGGTGGAGTGGGGTGCAGTGGGAGGAAGGGAAAGGTAGCTGAGACAAACTAGCTTGGTTGGTTGGTCGTGCCACCGTTGTGAAAGACAAGGGACGAACAAGAGATGTACAAAGGGAGGGGGTGCAAGTCCGGGCTGTTCTATGAACAGTCCCGTCAGTCGAAGAAAGGAGACAGTGTGATACCGGCGATAACCACAGAATCATGCCACAGGGGGGGGGGGTCGCGCACTGAACGCTTTTTGGCCCTTTGAGGTCGCGTGAGCACTCCGCTTTGCTTCCTTCTTCTTTGACATCATCAGCAAAGGTGCTTACTCCTCCATGGGCTTGATGTCATACCAGATGCCCTTGCGAGTGCGGTACTGAGAATGTGTGTGTGTGTGTGTGTGCGGTTGCGAGAGAGGGTGAGGAGAGGGTGAGGGTGAGTATGGGTGTGTGTGGGGCGGGGGAGAACATGGAAACAGCAGGGCTTCGTCAAGCAGTGACTCGACGCAGCACACACAACAACACTTCCATCAAGCCCAACCCCCTCACACACACACTCACATCACACACACGCACACACAAACACACACACACTCTCTCGCTCACATCACACACACAACACACAACACACACACACACACACACACACACACACTCTCTCTCTCTCTCTCTCTCTCTCTCTCTCTCTCTCTCTCTCTCTCTCTCTCTCTCTCTCTCTCTCTCTCTCACACATCACACACACATCAGCACTCACGAGGAAGACGGCGGTGGCGACAACCGTGCCGAGAGCAATGTAAGCAGGGGTGTAGCTCTTGGGAGGAACGACCTCAGGCGCGAGCATGTTCTCCCGAGCAGTCGTGGACATGGAGCGGCGTGCAGCCTGACCAACAGCACGGGCAGCGCGAGCGGCGAACATCGTTGTGGTTGTGGTTGTGGAAGGGCGTCAGGCTGGAAGTCGAGCGGTGAATGAACAAGTGAGAAGAAGAGCAGAGATGTGGCCACGTGGGCAGCAACATCGTGCAAGGCGCTCGGTGACCATGACGTCATCCTCAGTGACGTTCGGGGATGCGCATGTTTAGAATTTCGGTGGCGTTGCCTGGTTTGTGTGCTCCCTTTCCCGTGTCCCTCTCTCGTTCTCTCGCACCACCACCACCACCACCAAAGTTCTCCAGTTGCATTGATGCAGAGTGCTCTTTCTGCTGCCTGTTGCTGTTGTGACTGATCGACGAAACAAAAAAGTACCCATATCACAGTCACGCTGCTGCACCCAAAACCACACGCGAGAGCACACACAAGCACACACAAACACACCGTCACGACATCACACTCGACAATCAGTCCGTTGAATCCCTTCGGCGCTGCGGAGTAAACATGTCTCCGCTGTCATCAGCGCTGGCGCCAGAGGTGTTTGGGTTGGGATCGCCGTGGGGATCATACGCGCTGTCCTCCATCATGTTACTCAGCGCTTTGGGGTCAAGCTCAGTTGCGCGGCTCAGGGCCAACGCTGCCTTATCAAACCGGCCCATCTATGTTGTGAAACATGCAACCCCGGCGAATGCGTAAGTCCACCAAGGCCAAAGGTTCAAAACTAAAGAGCAGTCCTGCCTGCCATGCTGCTTCCATACACACACGCACACACACGCACACGCACACACACGCACACGCATACACACGCGCACACATACACACGCGCACACACGCACACACACGCACACACACACACACATACACACACATACAGAGCTTGGCATGACATGACAAGTGCACACAAAAAGTGCACCTTTCTGTAAATCTTCTCCAAGAGGAAGTAGAGTGACGGCTCTTTCGGGGCAACGGCCTTGAGTCGCTCTGCGTCCTCCAGCGCCCGGTTGAGGCGGCCAAGACACAGCATCACGCGCGCGCGCTCAAAGAGCACCAGCGGGTTCTCTGGCGCAGTCTCAAACGCCTGGACATGAAGCACGAGGGGTGTGAGCGCGCAAGAGAGAGTGTGTGTATGTGTATGTGTATGTGTGTGCATGTGTGCGTGCGTGTGTGTGTGCGTGTGTGCGTGCGTGTGTGTGCGTGTGTGCGTGTGTGTGCGTGTGTGTGCGTGTGTGAGCAATTGTGTGTGTGAGGGGGAGAGAGAAGAAGATAGCCACGCAGGCCACACATGCACACCAAATTCACAAACACAGAGATGAACCGGGCGTCGGACAACAGAGAGTTCATGGCAGTTGTGCTAAAGGGAATACCTTTTGCACGTGACCAAAAGCTTGCTGATACATGCCCTTGGCAGCCACAACCTTGGCCAGGAAGCACCGGAGCACAGGGCTAACATCAAAACAAGAAAAGTTAGTGGTCGATAACAGCGCGTGTGAGATTACCAACCCATGAAAGGAGCAGTATGTCAACAAACTTCGAAAACACCAAACACACACACGCACGCACGCACACGCACGCACGCACGCACACGCACACACACACTTGTTTGGGTTGATTTTGACGGCCATCTTGAGGTAGTGCTCGGATTCTTGGAACCTGTGCTGCTTGTCCTTGAGCACCCCGAGACCAAACAGGGCATTGTAGTGTCGCGGATTGATGGCAAGCGCGCTGTGGTAGCATTCCTCAGCCTAGGCAAAGCATTCATAAGCATGGGCATGCGTGAGTGTATGTATGCGTGAGTGTATGCATGTGAGAGAGCGACTGTGTGTGTGTGTGTGAGATTGCGAATCACTCGTGACGGGCACAAACAAACACGGGCGGCAGGCAGTTCACAGGCCATCGGCCTCAAGCCAGCAGCCGCCTTTAAGTCATGGCTATTGGATACTGTACAATGCAGAAGCAATGCAACGGCACGCCTACCCGCTGATAGTGCTCATTCTGGAACGTTTCGTGACCGAGCAGCGTGTAGCTGTACGAGAAGGTGGGGTCAATCTGCCAGCAAGGTGAGCAGTGCGCATGCAAAAAGCACATGTAAAAATGGTTATAAGTACATGTGAGCGTATGGGCGTGCAACGAGCGCGGAAAATGCCGCACGCATGCGGAATAACAGATGTCATCGACAGCGAAATCAAAAACGGAGATACTGAGTGGTTGACAGAGCTCGACAGGCTGGAGGGCAGGTGCAAGTACCGAGTACATACACTGATGCACTCACCCACCTGGATGGCTTTCTCAAAGCACACGACCGCCTTGTCGTGCTCCTTGTGCAGACTGTAGTTGTTGCCGGCCGCACAGCACGTGATGGGTGACTCGATGCTAATTTCGCCCAGCTACAAAAAAAAAACAAAAACAAAAAAAAAGGAGCATGGTGCAGCGCGCAAGCGTGTGCTCAAGTGAGTGTGAAGGAAGGGACACGAACACACACACACACACGAACACACACACACACAGAACACAAAAGAACAAGCACACGCACTCGCACACACACACACGCACGCGCACAGGAATACAACCTGTTCACACACACACACACACACATTGTCATGCACACACCATCACACCTCGTTTGCCAAGTAAGAGAGTGCTGTTTTGTCCTTGAGGTGCCAGAGAACGGTGCTGAAGATCTCCATGTCCTGCAATCGACACATGTCCAGACGCCGCGAGTGCCGAAACGCCAGATTTGCCTGCGATCACATGCGAGCGCAGACAGCGTTGAGATGAGAACATAATGGTGATGGCGATGTGGACAGTGACGAAGGGCAGCCACACAGCAAAGTAGAGGTGTCAAGCTTAACAGGTACGGCTACGCACGGCGTGGTAGTCTGCAAGCTCAAAGTATGCCTGTCCAAGCTTTGCCTGTGCCCACGCTGTGGTAACCTGAAACGACGTGTGCGCGCACGAAGGGCAAACCAAAGCACCAGACGATTGATGGTACGAGAACGACGCGTGTGCAAAAGTCAACTCGTCGGCGAGCAGCAGTCAGCACTTGACTTGGCGACAGGTACGCTGTCACACACACACACACACACACACACACACACACACACACACACACACACACACACACACACACACACACACACACACACACACACACACACACACACACACACACACACACACACACACACACACACACACACACACACACACACACACGGTGTTGCACAAAACGCAAAACGCGGGCAGCGGTCATACGTGAGCTCTTGGGAGCTCCTCCAGCGTGTTGATGGCGTCATGGCACTCAAACAGATACAGGTGGCGGACGACTTGCCCACACAGCGCCAACAACCGCATGCACGCCTCTGCAGCGAAGAACGAGCGCAGGGCACGCAGCATCGCACGATACACAAGCACGGGCATGAGCTTGGGGTAAGGATGAGAAGTAAACCCTAACCATGCCATCCTGTACACTCGGACACAGACACACAGATGACCATGCAGACACACGCGCACGCATTCTGATGCAGATACACACACGTACCCGCACATACACGCACGCACGCATTGTATGCACACCAAGACACATACACACATATTTGCATTAGCATTTGAGAGGTGCCAGCAAAGCGGCCTCACCGTGGCTCGCTTGGAGCAGAGCAGACGGTGCACTGTTCTCTTGGGTTGAGGCGCTGTCGGGGGCATGCGGCAACACCTGTCCATGATGGTGACGCGCGGATAAGATGACAACCGTGCTGATCATGCGACTCGTTTGCTCAACACTGTTTCACAACACACAGCAGCACCACACATACCACACAAACACGCACACACGCGCGCACACACACACAAGCACATTTACAAGCACACACACACACACTTGCCACACCACTTGCCACACACGACACACCACCAACAGACAACACGAGCCCACCTTGGAAGACCGCGACGACGATGCAGCGGCCTGCGGAGATGTGGCCGGCGATGGCGTTTCTGCCTTCTTCGAGTCGCGGTTGCGCCAGCTGCGCCGCGCCGCACGTGGCATCAGACGGGACATGCCAGTGACCTGTACGGGACGTGAATGGAAGCGAGACAGCCGCCAGCAGCACCGAACAGATGCACCAGCCGACAAGCACAAACATACGCACGCATCACTCAACGTCAGTATCGGTGTGTTATTAATGCACAAGTTGAAAGGCAGTATCACACACACATGAACATAGATGCTTCGACACACACACACATGAACATAGATGCTTCGACACTCACTCACGCACACAGAACCACGCACAGACACACAGAACCACACACACACACACACAACACACTGACACGCGCACACATTCTCTCTGTCTATCCGCCATGTTCACCTTGCGCGGGGACTTGCTGTCCGAGGACCCGCGAAGACGAAAGCTTCTGCGCGGCGGCGGCTCTTGGTAGCTTGGCGAAAACGCGGGCGCATCCGGCGACACACCGTGGTCTTGCTGCTGATACATTGATTTGGTGGCGGTCAAACAACGGTAACAGGCACCAAGGATGAGCGTCACCATTGTGCATGCGCGTGTCGCAGTGTGTACCTGGCTCTGTGTGTCGTGCACTGTTTGGTTCAAGATCGTGGCGGCACATATTGAACCATCGCACCACACCAGCATGAATACACACAAAAAACACACAAGCACACGTGAGTGTTTGGAGTCAGCATGGATGTTGCAAGCATCGATGGTGCGAACCTCCTTGCGTCGGTTGCGACGGAAGTAGGAAACTGCAATAAAAACAACGATTATCGTAGGAAAACTCACGAAGGCGTGTGAGTGAGAGGCGCATACTCATGGCAATGACAGTACATGTGCTCCAGCATATGGCAGCATCCAGAGCCCACACACGCACTCTCAACGGTAACACCAGCAAGACAACAAACAACCGATGCATCGCCGTGTGAAAGTGTATGTGACAGTGTGTGAACGCTGATGTTGGGCAAGTGGGTGTTGGTGCCTGATTATTTCACGCACTTCTGCTGGAAGGCGGGGATGCGGTGTACGAAGGGCTTGGCGTTGCGAGGGCACATAGGCGATTCACAGGCAGTGGTGTCCTGCTCGTGTAAGTCAACGCACACACACACACATACACATACACGCACGCACGCACGCACATGTACAACATGGAGTTACTGCGAGTGTGGAGCCGCATGGTGGATGTCCGCGCAATTACGGAAGCCCAAACACAAATGTGATTGGAACAGCCAGTCAGCACAGCCATACAGATTCACAATCTGCGTACGGTGTGTTGGTGTCTTCCAGCGAAGCGGTGGGAAGTGGCGTTGTCAACTGCAAAGGCAAAGATGGAAGAGCAATTTAAGACGTTTCACAGGTGGAAGTGGTCAGCTCAGTCGATAGACGCACGTGTGTGTGTGTGTGTGTGTGTGTGTGTGTGTGTGTGTGTGTGTGTGTGTGTGTGTGTGTGTGTGTGTGTGTGTGTGTGTGTGTGTATGTGTGTGTGCTGCATGCAATAGCGAGCCCGCTACAAAAACAAGAGCACTCTCAGTGATCATCTCTCAAGATTCGGGCAGCACTCGGTTGATGAGATGTGTGTGGGCGAATACTTACGACTGTGTCTCAAGGCAGCATCGACAATACAGGTAAATGGCCTCCGGCAAAGGGTTGTTTGTCAGCACCGAGATGGCATGCTTCTTTTCACCTGCGTTGATAAAGGGGTATGTGGGAAACATGACGATCCGGGCCGTGAGGCTCGTAATACTGAGACTGCAAGGGAGGGGCCGCAAAGAACGCAAAGGACGCCATCAAACGCTTAGACCCTCAAGAAAACCTTACCAGCTCCGTAATAGCATTTTCCAAGCAGGAAGCGCGAGTGGTCCGTTGGCTCTGTGCATCGAACATGGGCCGTTTGAACAGGAGTCATGATGAGAGTTTGTATGTGCATGTGCGTGAGTGCATGTGCGTGAGTATGTGTGTGCGTGTGTATGTGTGTGCGTGTGTGTGCGTGTGTGCATGTGCGTGTGTGCGTGTGTATGTGTGTGCGTGTGTGTGCGTGTGTGTGTGTAAATGTATGCGCGCGTTTGCTTGTCTGCCTTTAAGCATGTGTGTCTGCGTGCTCATCCGTGAGGGTGCATTGTACGCTTGTCCAGCGCATGCGAGTACCTTCTGCGACGAGCCGTTCTGCCAGGAAACAGGCGTCTTCAAACTGCATGAGTCCAAGGGCATCTTGGACCGCAGCCTTGTAGTGTGTGTGTGTCAGATGTGAGGGCGCACAAGGTTCCACTGGGGAAGGGCCAGCACACAACATGCAGCCATCCATGACACACAGAGCACAACGGCACAACCGCACGCAACACATCACACACACACACACACACACACACACACACACACACACACACACACACACACACACACACACACACACACACACACACACACACACACACACACACACCTCCAGAGCTGCGCGACATCCAAGCATCGTCGTTTGCAGCTGTTGCCGATCGCCGAAATTTTCAAGTTGGCGGCATTCAAATTTTGTGGTGTCCAGGGCAGTTGCGGCAATGGTGTGTGTGTGTGTGTGTGTGTGTGTGTGTGTGTGTGTGTGTGTGTGTGTCTGTGTGTGTGTGTGTGTGTGTGTGTGTGTGTGTGTGTCTGTGTGTGTGTGTGTGTGTGTGTCTGTGTTTGTGTCTGTGCGTGTGTCTGTCTGCCCGTCTCTCTCTCTCCCTCTGTGTGTGTGTCGATCTGTGCACTGCATAGCTAAATGTGCGTGTGTGCGTGCGTGTGTGATTTCGCGCAGGGCTCGGGATCATCGCTGCCGGAAGACCAGCGAGCGTCAGATGTGTGTGAGTTCATTGACAACGTCTGTGCGTGAGCGTGTCTACATTTGTGTCGTCGTCCAACCCGGGTTGTGACAATACGCTGTGGCGCTTCACTATCTTGAACAGACACGGAGAAGGAGATCAAGACGCTTGTGAAGCAGCTGAAGAGCATTGGATGCATCAACAACAATGTCGTGAACGTTGACACCTTTTTCGCCGCGTTTTGCCTCGATGACAGGTCTACAACTACACTATCTGCCGTGCGTTCACGTATCGTGTATGTGTTTGTGTGCGGGCATACGAATGCCTCTGCGTGTGTGTGGTTGTGTGACTGTGCAACCTGTATATGCGAACCTTGCAACGCTTGGGCGATGGTGCTTGCTCTCTCAGCAGAGAAATGCACAGCTATTGGACGTGCGCTCACATGATAGCACCGCGTTATCAGACCTTTGGTTCGAGACATGGTCCTAGCAGCGCTGGGAACAGACACACCGCGCGCCTCCTGCCCGCTTCCAACCTTCATTAACTCCATGGGCCAAGTCAGCTCAAAGGCATCGCCGAGCAGCCGACTTGCGCGTGAGTTGCAATCCACAAAGTATTACCATGCTCTTTGCATGTTTTGTTTGCTTTCCTGCATGACTGCGTGCTTTGTACATGTTGTGCAAGCGTGCTTTGCGCTTGTATGCCATGTGCGTTTGTGTGTTCATCGTTTGTCTGTGCGACATGATTTCCCTGTGATGCGTGTCAGGGCCGCTACCTGCACTTGCTTGCTGCGCTTTGTGTCAGGTTGTCGGCTGTGCATGCCCATACTCATGGTATTGCTTCATCTCACTTTGTGGTTTGTGCCAGTCCTTGCATCTGCGCTTGGGGCTACAGAAGGTCAGCCTCCGCCCTGGGATCGCATTGAGCAGCACCTTCGGGACACAGCATTTGCTCGCCTGCCACAGGACATTGCAGAAAAGGTCGGTACCTCTTGCTAGAGGCAGTGCACCGACCATCGTCTGGTCCACACATCACAGCATCAGCACACAACAACAACAACAACAACACACACACACACACACACACACACACACACACACACACACACACAAACACACAAACGCACACACACACAAACGCACACACACACACAAACGCACACACACACACACACAAACGCACACAAACGCACACAAACGCACACAAACGCACACGCGTCCACACAAACATGCAGTACGCGCTTACTGACACAGCTTGCACCTCATGTGAATACATGTGCACGTTGATGACGCCTGGCGCAACTAGGAATTGGACACGCTTAAACAAGAGTATGAGGAGTTGAGTGCTGTGCCTGACAAGCTGCCCACGTTTGCCGCCAACATCGACTTGCACATGTACACATTTGATGCGATTGCCCTGCGTGAGTTTGGCGGTGTGCAGGGCACACGCTGAATAACACCAGTGGAGTGCATCTGGGTTTGGTGTTGTGTTGACAAAGTGCGTAGTGCATTGGCGTTCCCTATCTTTATTCCTAAATGACCAGCTTTATTCCGCAACTGTATGTGCGTGCGTGACTCGCGTTGCGTGAGTCAGTATGTCTTGCGTGAGTCAGTGTGGGTGGTCCTCAGCGCAAGAGAGGGTGCTCCTGTGGTGGGATGGCAAGTTGATGACGCACCACACTCGCCACAGGATGGGGATGGCCAGGCAATGGAGGGAAGGGGCGCCAAGTGAGGCTGTGGAGACCTTGTGTGCGTGTGTGTGTGTGTGTGTGTGTGTGTGTGTGTGTGTGTGTGTCCTGTGTGCCCGAGGCAAAAGACCTGGACACTCGGGCAAGGCACTAGTGCAGGGCAGGTTTGGTGTTGTCTGCACTTCTCTTTTTGTGTGCCTGTTGTGGTTGCTTGCTTGTGTGCCTGTTGTGGTGTGTCATCAACAACCAAGTGTGCCTTTGGATTGTATGAGCAATTTTCTCCGTTCTCCACAACAAATTGAAGCTCCATTGGCGCAGTTGGTTAGCGCGTGAGTCTAATAAACTCAAGGTCATCAGTTCGAGCCTGGTATGGAGCAACCAACGTTTGTTTTTCTTTTGTTTTTCTTTTTTGCTGGGCTTCTTGCTTGCTTGCCAGGCTTCTTGTTTGCTTGCAGGCTTGCCTTGAGACCCAACCAACATAAAAGAGACGACAACTTGCTAGCAGGAGAAACAAGAAACAGTCCTTTTATCCCTTGTTCACTCCACTCTACCAGTCTGCTTGCAGCTTTGAGTTCTCCTGATTGCAAACACTACAAGCACTGGCACACACACGCGCGCGCGCACGCACACACAATCCCGCGCCGTCTTGCTTTGGTCAAAACCCAACAGTGTACTTCCTCCGTCAAACACAAGCACACACACATCGGCGCCCCCAGCACACAGAAAGCAAACAAACCCAAATGGGCGTGGGACAACCGCGGGTGGGACGCATGCTCAATTAGCGTCAGGCAAGGGCGATTATACAGTAGCAAAGTAGAGAGAGAGGGAGAAGAAGGACGAGATGAAAAATGAGCAACCCGCAGACTGCGCTGCGGGTTCTCTTGGGGTGAGAGGGAGGGAGGAAGGGCGGACGCGAACAAACGGGAACGAGCAGCAGTCAACACACTTCTCAGTCAAGAGCCCGGGAAGAGGCTGCTTGAGGGGATTTGGGATGAGAGGGAATAAGCATAGAGATGATACATCTATACATTGAGCGGAAACAAGAAAGGAGGGAGACAAGGGAGAGAGGGAAGAGAGAGAGAAGAGAGTACGGTCTGGTGCTTCAGTACAGATACTGTCATCACATGAACGACAGCAAGATACAACCACAAACAGCCCAGAATAGAGGCGAGAACGGCGACGAGCGAGCCTGTCGTTAACCAGAAGGATACGTTTTGGGGAGGGGGTGGAAGGCAGTGACGGTGTGAGAAAGTGAGGTCAGGGTGTGATGGGGTGCACTGTGCTAGGGAGAAGACGAGAAAACAAAGTACAAGATCAGCGAAGGGAAAGAAGGAACGAAGGAACGAAGAGAGAGAACAAAAAGAAGTTGTGACACTGACAACAGAAGAACAGACCAGCAGAGCACTACTCTGCTTCAGCGCCAGCACACAACACACAAGAAGACCGGAGAGAGAGAGAGAGAGAGAATGAAAGAGAGAGAGAGAGAGAGAGAGACGCACACTTGCATACAACAACAACAAAAAAGACAAGTGTACGAGTGCGGTAGCGACTAGTAGCTGATGGGAAGCAGCCGTAGTCGACTCTAAGAGCACCCAAGGTGATCTTGCAGCGAAATGTAAATTCCCAAACCTCAACAGCCCACAAGTCTTCGCAAATAGGGCTGAAAGGCTCTAGCAGCTGCGTTCAAGAGAAGGCGGTTGAAAAGCAGAAAGAAGAGCAAGAGAGCAAGAGAGAGAGCAAGAGAGAGAGAGAGAGAGACAAACAAAGCGCCACACAAACGAGGAAGACGAGACCAGGCGAGCACATGTCGCAGTTGACCAAACTCACCACAACAGAGACGAATTAGCTTAGCCAAAGAGGAACGAGGTTGCAAATGCATTAAGCTTCCGTGGGCAGCAGGAAGGACAAGCCCTGCAATCACAACAGTCACAGGAGACAACAGGAGGCAGTGCAACGTGTGCAACAAGACAAGCCATGTCGTGAGATACAAGTGGGAAGAGCCAACGTTAGATTAGAACACATGCTCGTTCGTACGCACGTCTCACAGACGTCACAAGCCAAAACCATGGACAACAACAACAACAACAACATCGGCAGCACAATGACAACAACAGCCCGTCAGAAGGTGGTGCATGTGATTCTCTTCAGCACGTGACGCAAAGGTCACTCTGATACATCTTGATTCAAAACACGAGTTCATCACCCGGACACAGTCAAACAGCGACATACATACACAAGAGCAACCAACAGTACAAGGAACAACGGAGTGCAAAGAAAGACGTACCTTGCGCTCCAGCGTGCGCTTAAACAGCGCCTCGTTCTTCCTCTTCTGGAAGGAGGACAGGTCACCGCCCAGGGCAGCGGTGAGCTTCTTGGCGGCTTCCTCGCCCTTGGCTTCGTTCATGGCGGCAACAACCTCAACAACAAAGCTGAAGGGGTTCATCAGCGGCTTGAGCGTGGACTCATCCTTCAGCAGCGTCTCAATCTCGTTGTCGTCAAGACCCTTTCCAATGATGCCACCACAGGACCAAGGAGCAAAGAGTGTGAGTGAGTGCCCAATATCCGCCACGTAGCGTAAAACTAGAACAGAAGCACACTCAGCGACGAGGCACAGACAAAACTGATAAATGCAGTGGAGCTCAACATTCACAACAACAACTCACGTTGACAACAAACTGCGCCAGGAATGCAGGGGCCTTTGGCGAGTCCATGCTGTCGTCATCGAGCGTCTCCAGGCGGTCGTGCGTGCTGTGTACACCAACCACGAAAGATAGATACGAACAGATACGAAGATGATGGCGTGACGCAGGCAAGCAAGCAAATAAACAGCGAAAACAAAAACATGGTGTGAGAATCACGCGCAGGTCAGCACTCGGGTGGGGAAATGAGGAGGAGCAGAATCGATGGCACACAAACACACAGCACAGCGACAAGATGTCTCAGTTTAACGAGATTATTTGCTCGTCACGGTATGCACCTCCAAGTAAATGAAGGGGCATTCAGGATTAGCATGGTTAATTCACATCATAGACATCTGGCCAATCACTGCCGCTAAAAAGCTCGAAGCTTCGACAAAGGCCACACACAAAAATACAAAAACAAGAACACAACGCAATGCGCAACAACATGTATCGATCACACACACACACACACACACAGCGGCTTACGCTTGCAGGGCGTGCTTGTGGGTGAGAATCTTCTCGGACATGAGCTTCTGCAGCAGCTGGAGGAGGGCCTCGCGCTTCGGGGCCTTGATCAGACCAAACAGGTCGGCCACAAGCTCAGACACAAACACGTGGTACTGGTCCTCGCCAAGCTCACGCACGCACGCGTACAGCTCTTTGTCGTCCTTGTTCAGCACATACTCCTGCGCACGTGAAATGATTCATGTCAATCATTGGGTGGGGGCAAGCGAGCAAGAGGAAATGATCAGTGGTCGAAATGGGGTTGTGGACGGACATGTGAACACGACCAACCCAGTACACAAACACAACACTCGACACAGCACGCAGAGCGAAGCACCTCAATGGTGTTCCTGCAGGAGCGCTTGAGCTTGTCGAGGTCCTGGGCGGGCTCGGCGGCAGGGGTCTCAGGCTCGGGAGTGGGCTCAGCCTCGCCAAGGAGCTTGTAGCGGTTGGCGGGCTTGCTTGGGGCCGGGGTGGCTGACTGGCTTCCGGGCGGCGTCGGGCGGGAACCGCGGGAGAAGCGGGACGCCTGGTTGGCGCGGCGCATGGGCGCAAGCTTGCCCTGAAGACCAATCTTGTTCACGTCGCGGCGCTCCTGCGTCATCTTTGCCTTTGCACCCGGCTGTACGAGGAAGAGAAAAACATTGGAGACGAGACGAGCAGAGAGAACGAGCAGAGAGAACAGGGGTGAGTCAAGACGTTGTTGGTGGCACAATGGAGCACTTCTGCGATCGTTACGATACAGCAACAAATAGTAAAGATACAGCAACAGACGAAACTGGTGGGTGGTGGTCAGAGACATGATTCATCGTCATGGGCTCCAGCGCTGGCTTTCATCGCCCGATCAGACGACACTTCCTATTGATGTTCAAGAATCATGTAACAATCATCATGCCACCACCATCAAAATCTTGTATACAGACGTGCTCTGTGTGTGTGCGTGTGTGTGTGTGTTGTGTGTGGCATACCTGTGAGGAGGAGCTGGTGCGCCTGCCCTGCAGTGGGCGGCCATGTGACTTCATCTCAGCCTGCGCCTCGGCAATAACATCCTTGCGCTTGCGCGGACCATCTTCAGGCTTGACCCATCTGTGGGGTGTGTGATGCAAGCAGTCATCATCATGACCGGAGCAGTGGTGAATGAGTGAAAATGTATGGAAAAACGTGAGGCTGTTAAGAGTGCGTCGACTTCATTGCACGCCCAATCCCCCTTCACACACGCAAACACACACACTCTCTCTCTGCCTCTCTCTCTCACACTCACACATGCAACGCACCCCTTCTTGCGAAGGTCCTTGATGTCCATGATGAAGAACTGGAGCTTGTTGGGGATGTGCTTGCAGCCGGAGAGTCGGCCGAGGTACTCCTCGAGAAGCGGCTTCTGCTCCTTCTCAAGCTTGGCGCCTGCCTTCTCCACAATCTTGCACATGCACATGACCGCGTCCTCGGCCTCGTTCTGCTTCCAGTACGTCTCCACAACCTGCTTGAGCAGGTCAAGGCTTACCTGCAGTGCATGGGTGGTGCGGATCGAAACGGTGAGAGCAGCGCCATCACAGTTACTTGGCAAGCAAAACATCAGAACGAAAGAAAGTACAGGGAGATGAAGGAAGAAAGCGCACAGCACGCGGTTGAAAGCCGAGCGCAGAAAGAAGCACAAGAACAGCACGAAGGGAAACACAGAAACGACAAAGAAACGGATTGGGTTGAATGTGTGCTCAAGGCATGAATGCATGCACTCGTCCACTTTCATGCAATGCATAGTGGTATTGACACCATAACGCATGCTTGCGAAAGGAGCGATAGCTTGTGCACAACTATTGTAAACATATAGTGTCGGTCTTGGCCTGACTCGAACAACCATCGAGATGGGGATAACTCAAGGCTGCAGATACCACTTCGGCCGAAAAAAAAAAGAACGAAAGGAAACAAACCCACGACGGAACGTACACAAATCGTAGAATGGCGAAAGAACAGGGAACAAGAACAAGAAGAAGAAGGAGGAGGAGGAGGAGGAGGAGGTGATGTTGATGTTGTTGTCGCTGTTTTGGTGTTTGTCGTGCTTGGTTGCTGTTGGGTAGTCGCATTCAACCCTGCACTGTAACGTACCACAGTTTCGTTGAAGAGCTCAGCGACAAAGACAGCGTTGCCAATGAGCTTCTGGCGCTTGCGGTTGAGCGTGTACAGCTCGTCGCCCTGCTTCTGAAGCTCGGGATCGTTGGGGTTGCCTACGCAGACAAAGTTGTAACAAACAAAGGGGGAAGGACAGCGAGGAGAAGTAGGAGCAGAGTGATGTGAGACCACTTCACTTGCAACGAGACACAAGCACCAAAGCGGAACAATGCACGCGTACTCAAAGAAAACAAACGCAACATGCACGTACAAACATACGCAAACAAACATGCACGTACAAACATACGCACGCAAACACGCACACAGAACAACCGACCTTGCTGCAGCTCCTTGACAATCTTCTCGAGCTTCTTGATCTCCGTGTCAAGCGTCTTGAAGTCTTCCTGCACATCCTTCTTGCAAATGGCCAGGAGCTTGTTCTGGAAGGTGGGGAACTTGGCCCCCATACTCTCCGTTCGCGCTCTGCTCAGGGACTTGCACAGCTTTGCGTAGATCATGGAGAAGAACTCGCTATCCTTGGCCTGTGATGGGCAACAAACCGCATGCACGTACGTTCAGGTGAGGACAACATAGGGACATGCAATTAAGCGAGATACAGGATCACCACTTTGCTCTTTTGCGTCAAGAACAGAGCGTCACACTTGGAACAAGAGCGACGCATAGCGCCAAGACAAGACCGACACATCTCGATTCGCACACATGCACGCGCGGTTCCGTTCAAACACAACCATCACACGGCAAGGATTTGGGGTCGTACCGTGTCCTGGATGAGCTCGATGAACTTGTCAAACTCCTCGCTGTCAGGAGGGAGCTGCTCTGCCTCCTGGATAATGTCAAGGACAATATCGTCAAAGTTGTCCAGGGTGATCTTGCCCAGGTGCCCACGAAGGTTGCCAATGATGCTCTGCTCGCCTCGCTTGAATGCGTTCTCGGAGCGCTTGAGTGTGACATCCGTGTCGGGGATGTGGACGGAGATGAGGTGTGGGCCGCGGGCCTGGGGTGGCGGCATGGGCCGGCGACCACCGCCGCGACGGCGGGTGCCACCAACAAGCAGCGAGGAGGATTGGTTATTGGGGCCTGGGCGAGGCTGGCGGCGGCTCGGGCGATCATCTGTGCGGGCGCGGCCGAACTGGTTGAGCGGGTTCTTAGTGCCTTGAAGAAGACCACTGAGCGACTTGTTGGGGTTGGTTGGCGACTCCCGGCACTGGGGCTTCTCGCGCAGGCTCATCATAAAAGCCATGGTGTAGGGGCCCTCAAAGGGCAAGGGAGATGGTGGGGTTTGGTCTTCTTCCTCTTCCTCTTCCTCCTCTTCCTCCTCTGCTTCCTCTTGTTGTTGCTCCTGCTGTTCCTGGTCAGCGGGATGCGCTTGCTCGCTAACGGGCTGTTGTGCTTGCGTGGCCTCGGCAGCCTGGGGCGCAGCGCTGCTGGCTGGTGCCTCTGCCTTTGGTGCTGGGGCTTGCTCCTCTTCCTTCTTGCTGGGCTGCTCGGCAGCAGCGGCGGAGGTGGTGGCGACGGCAGCCGGTGCCGGGGCTTGCGGCTCGGGTGCCTTGGCGTGCTCCTGGGCGGGCTTTGCGTTCTTGTCCGCCTCCTCTTCCTTGGGCTTGGTAACCTCGAAGAGGCGCTTGGGTCCTGTGGGCTTGGTAATGGTGGCGGCCGGGGGCGTGGCTGCCTCCTCCAGTTCCTTCTGCGGCTGCTGGACTGGCTTTGTGGCGTCGCCTTGCACCTCAGGGGTGGTCGGGGTGGACGGCTTATCTCCGAGCTTGAAGAGCAGCGTGCTTCCGGCCGGCTTGCTGCTCGGCGGAGCAGATGGCGTCGTGGTGGTGGGGTTGGTTGCGGCGGTGGTGGAAGCTGGCATGGTGGGACCCGTGCGCAAGGGCATGGGCTGGCGCTGGCCGTGCTGGTGAGGAGGCTGGCCAGGCATGGTGTGTGGCTGCAGCTGCTGCTGCTGGTGCTGCTGGGCAATCATGTGCGAGCCATACGGGCTGGCGTAGGAGCTGGGCACGCCCATGGGCGTCGTGCCGGCCTGCATTTGGGCGTGCATGGGCGGGGCGCCGCGAGCCCCATAGGCGTTGGGCGTAAAGTACGGCACGGACATGCTCGGCTGCGGAAACGGCACACCGGGGTGCTGAGGGGCAGAAGGGGGAAGGTTGGAGTACGGCGACTGACTGTAGTGGGAGTACCCTGGTGGGTACTGGGACTTGTTGTGGCGCGACATTGCTGCTGTCTCGTTCGCAGGTCCTCTCTAACACAATGGAAGCAAATCAGAAGAGACGAATACGCAGAGGCCAGGAGATCCAGATAGACAGATAGATAGACAGATAGACAGGTATTGGGCAGGAAGGTAGACAGAGAGAGAGAGAGAGAGACAAGAAGGGAGGCGGAACGCCAAGGCGCAAAGTGAGACTCGGTAAGGGTTGGTGGGGTTGATGTCAAAATGGGTGGCTACACGCAACACGTGAGCTGAAGGATTGTGTGGTGGCTGATGCAAGTGAGATCGGGGTGTGGCAGGAACAGAAATCGCGAACAAGTGGAAGACAACGACGCAAGTGTGTATGCGTGTGCGTGTATGCGCGTGTGGGTGTGTGCTTGAAGAAGCTGGTGTTGATAATGGATGGTGATGGCGTGGGTGTATGCGTGGGTGGGCGGTGGATGACTCCGAACGAACGATCACAGCACTCTCAAGATCAAGCAAGAGAAAATGTGCGCACCCTCATCCCCATGAGACAGCACCTGAGCTGCGCGAACTTACAAGAGGGTGGACTCCTGAGGAGTGGAAGGGGAGAAGGATAGGTGGGTTGGTTTCGAGTCCTTGAGTGAAGGTCGTGTAAGGGGGGTTCCGAAGTGTGTCAGCGAGATGGTGGGTGTCCACGAGGTGAGAAGGTCGAGTGAGAGAAAAAAAGGCACAAGCAACCACCAACCAACCACATGCACGCAAAAGAAACGAGCAACGCAGCGTGCACGCAGGCGAAAACGAGCAAGAAGAAAATTCGCCACCACACACGTGGTTTTTTTGCGCGGTTGACAATGCGTCCTCTGCGCTTACACGCGGTGGATACAACGTCAACAAAGTGTGTGTGTGTGTGTGTGTGTGTGTGTGTGTGTGTGTGTGTGTGTGTGTGTGTGTGTGTGTGTGTGTGTGTGTGTGTGTGTGTGTGTGTGTGTGTGTGTGGCGGGACAACAGGCAAACGCGTGCCATGTGCGCCCCTGAGCTATAAGCAAAGTGGCTTGAGTGAAACGGACCTTCTTCTGGGGGATTGGGTTGTTGACGGGGAAAATGCTACGCACAACAGTCTTCATCTTGGATTCGCCCTCCTCGTCCTCGTACGTTCGGTTGTACGAGACCTGAAACACGGGTATGTGCATGACCATCCAAAGAGCAATATCAGGAGGAGTGTCTCTGTGTCTGTCTGTCTGTCTGTCTGTCTGTCTGTCTGTCTGTCTGTCTGTCTGTCTGTCTGTCTGTCTGTCTGTCTGTCTGTCTGTCTGTCTGTGTGCCTGTGTGCCTGTCTGTGTGCCTGTCTGTGTGCCTGTCTCTCTGTCTGTCTGTGTCAAGCGGCAAGAACAATATTATGCCCTTGCCTCGATGGGGTACACGTTGGCATCCTTTGCAATGAACTTCTTGACGCGGAACGCTTTGCTGAGGGCGGCAGCCTGCAGTAAGAGTTAAAGAGTGTGGCAGTCAGGTGAATGTGTGAGCGTGTGTGTCTGTGTGTGTATCTCGATGTGGATATAAGCATGCGTGCATGTACGTGTTGCATGCATGTGTGGCGGGCTGGCGCCGGCGCGTTGTGGGAAGAAGATGAGACATGCAAACGTCCAAGAGAAAAAAGATTAGCAGCATTGGAGGGCCGTGCAAGCACGTTTATGGCACACACCTCGTATGCGGCACCAAGGGCGCACGCCTCGTCACCGTTGAGGTTCTTGCCGAGCTCAACACCGCCGGTCAGCCCAAGCAGCACATCCTGCACCTTGGGAATGCTGCGAGGCACATCGTACGGGTAAGGGGGAGGTGGTGAGAACATGAACAGGCACGCTGCCAGGCATATGTGACAAGGGAGAGGCTTGGAAAAGTAGCACTGATTTGCCCACACTTGTAACAACTCCACAAGAGGCACAAGACACACAGCCAGAACAAACCCAATACCAGCCAACCGGAGGCTACACTACGAAGCCCAAGCAATAACACCAACCCCAGCACAGCCCAACCCAAACCAAGCAATTTCAAAACGCAAGCGCACCGAACAGCGCCGCCGATGATGATGAGGGAGCGGATATCCGCCATGGTGATGTTTGCAGACTGGAGCGCAGCGAGGGCGGGCTTGTCCGCGCGCTGCAGCAGGTCGGCACCGAGTGTTTCAAGCGTCGCCCGCGTCACCTGCACGCGGAAGTCAAGATCCTCAAATACGCCCTCAACCTGGCATGTTTGTGTGTACACGGCGGCGGCGGCGGCGGGTGTGAGCAGGCACGCGAGCGTTGTTCTGCTTGTGCATCATCATGCAATCGACAATGGCGCAACACCCGTCTCCCAACTTGGACTGACGTCACGACACTGCACAGGCACATGCAACAGATACAACATGTATCGATGTTCCCCCACGGGTGTTCGCAGAGCGCATACGCGCCAAGGATGGGGGCCGACCTGTGCAAACGTCTCTGTGTTTGCGCTGAGGACCGTCTTGACCTTCTGTGCCTCCTTAAGGAGCTTGGCCATTGCGCGCGGGCTCTTCGCTGGGTCGCCCTTCAGCTGCGCCGCCTTGGCCTTCTTAAACTCCGCAAGCAGATGGTCGCGCAGGCGCAGGTCAAGCTCGAACCCGCCGAGTGTTCGGTCGAACCTGCCAACGTGAGGAGGAGAGGCACGGAGGCAAGCAGGGTGTGAGAAGGGCTGCTGTTTCGTTGCGGTGTTGTGGTTTGTGAGAAGGGAAGTGCGCTGGGGTACTGCTGTGGTGATGTGTGGCGTGATGTCGCTGTGTTGGGCGTTGTTGCGTTGAAATGGTTGGTGAACAGCAAGGAAGGAATAGAATGACCCACCCGATGCCCTTGACCTCCAGCTGTGGCGTCTTCTTCTTGGTCTCCTTGTCCTTAACCATGCTGAATGCTGCCGCCAGGAACACCACGAGAAGCAGCCGTATGAGCACGGGTGTGTGTGTATGTGTGCGCGTGCGTATGTGTGTGTGTCTGTGTATATATGTGTGTATGTGTGGGTATGTGTGCGCGTGCATGCGTATATATACATATATATATATATATATATATGTGTGTGTGTGTGTGTGTGTGTGTCGTGTGTGTGTGTGTGTGTGTGTGTGT